TTGAATATAAAAGAAGTGGAATTGCTCTTTTCTTTCAGTTCTAGTGAAAGTTCTTCGATGAAATGCTTCTATTGGACTGCATTCTTCTGCGGTATCGACTATCGAGTAATATTTCTGGCGCACTCTTGTTACGCTATTTGCAACAACTTCACTTAATCTACTAAGGACACTAAAATGCGATAAAGGGTGATTTTTGAAACTGATTCAAAGGCAGCTTTGGATCTAAAACAAGGAGCAGGTTCGGAATCACCATTATCCAATCTGATACTTCTCATCAGGAATTACACACGTAGGGATTGGGAATGTAGACTACAACATGTTTGGAGAGAAGGGAATGGGTGCGCAGACTGGCTGGTTAAAAGAAGTGTTAACAAGGGATGTAGATTCTAACTGAACTTCAATAGGAATTGCGGGAATTGATTGGAGCAGATATTTTGGGTGCTGCAACCCTGTGTTTTGTCCCTGCTTAAGAGGGTCGACCTCCCCCACGCGAAAAAAAAAATACGATAAAGAAATGAGGTAGTATTTTCATATACTATTCAATGAACCTGCAAAATTATGACAAACTAAATACAAAAGCAAAAGCTTAGAAGCTTTTGTTGTTTTTTTTTTTGCCAAAATATATAATTTGTTGGACAGGGGTCCATTGGGTGATGGACAAAGGTCCAAAGACAATACAAAAATCTACTAGCACAGAAGAGTGGGATTAACCCATTTTTCATCTTGATACATGTTTAAGCATTTTTTTTTTGGTGTAAGTGGCATGCTTTGAATTCGGGTCTCTTACTCATATTTTTTCCTCCCATATCACCTAATCCATCTCTCCCCACCTCTCTGATATATGTTTAAAACATGATTGCTGAGAGATATGATTATATCATTTTTTCCTATTTGTACAACTAGGGGGGGGGGGAGTCCGCGCTAAGCGCAGGAGTTTTAACCTATGCGATAAAATATTTATTCAAAAACATTTATGGAAAAGATAATAGAATTAGAACTCCATGGTAATTGGTTTAATTGAATCAATTGAGGTGCATGAAATATATAAGTAAATTGGCCAAATCAACAAACTTATAAAGGAAAACAAATTTAGAAGTAAAAGAATAGGATTGTGGTAGATAATCACACAATACCACAACAACAATAGCAAAAATATCATTACCTTTGTTACTATACCATTATAACACAAAATCGTAGTCATGTCCAATCAACAATTAACATGTATCAACTATAAGATCAGATTTAGATCCTACCTTGGTAATAAAATTGCAGTCAATAGATAATCTTTAGTTGTAGTTTAACCACCCACGAACATCAGATTTTGGAAATATCAATGTAAGAAAGTTCCTATGGATATTCATATGTATGCATCATGTATTCCATAACAAAATTTCCATATTCATACAATAGCTATTGAGAAAATATTGTAGTAGAAAACTCACAATTTTTATTGTATCTGCTAAACATCCAAAACTGTAGAAAGAGAGAAAGTAAATGAGCATACCTGTCCAAATACCCACAACAAAAGATTGATTACAGGCATTTGAAGCAACAATCTTCAGTATTAAAAGTCTCCATTATTGTCAAGTTGAAGAGCACTACAATTTTACTTGTAATAGATTGGAAATATGAACCAAAATCAATCATGTTTATTATTAAGTGTTTTCTGAACCAATCATCTTTAGCATTAAGACCCTCTATTATTGTAGCTATAAAAGCTATCCAACAATTATAAAAGAAGATGAAGAGCATTGCAATTACATTTGTAAGTGATTTAAACACCACTTAAAAGCTTGATAATCACATGGAAAAATAAGCTAATTGCAAATGGGAAGACACAATAATTAAACCCAACTCAACTATACATTATAATGTTGTACATTTGGCTTAATCACTTGCATTTGATTTTTTCCATATCTAAATTATCCCCAAAAATGGCAAATGAAAAATTTTTCAACAGTCACCTACAAACTCCTTTATATATATATATATATATATATATATATATAAAGGAGCACTATAAAAACAGTAATACGAAGGACTTGATGTCTTCTATGAATGTTGCAATTCGAACTGCCATGTAACTTTGTTTCTAGAGTTGAGCAAATCAACTATTTGTTAGCCACTTCCATGCATATGCTTCTCCACCCCTTGCTCAGCTGCTTTGATGATTGCACGTGATTATATTAAATCAAATACAACATTTCTTTGATATTCATTTTTTTTTCTTGGAAAATTTGATTATTTACCTTATAATAAAATATTTTATATTTTTAATTTATTTAATCAATTCTTATTACAAAGACTATCTAGATTTGGACTCTTTGATCTATTCGTTTTTTAATTTATTTTGAGATTTTTGATAAATTATGGATTTAACTTTGATAAACAAATCTTAATATGGTCATGTTTTACCAAAGTTATTGTATACTCATAATATTTTTATCATTAAATCATAATATTGAAGGTCATTGTGCCACTTCTATTGAAGTTAGTGTTATTAAGGTTACTGCACACTCGTGATGCCACAAATTAAAACGGTTTTAATTACAAATCCATTATTTATCAAATTCTATTTTTTGTAGCATTTGATGAAGAAATAAATTCTGGCATTAAGTATCAAGTAATAAACATGTCTGTGATCTCACTTTGAAAATTCAATGTAGTATTGAGAATGACATATTTTGATGGCTAATAATACCTATGTGCTTTGCGTGTGATTTATATTCCAAAATGTAGTATCATTAGATACTAAAATTTTTCATAATTTTGATTGTCAACCGTACTACAATATTCATATGTTCTTTTTGTTAACCAACTTTTTTGAATGCATCAAATGATAAACCGACGTTTTTCCAAGCAGATCCTTTTTTTAGAGCATTTAAATAATTTGTATCTTTGACTTTAACAAACAAATATTGCTGTTATCATGATTTTCCAAAGTTACACACTTTGATATCATTACACTTACTACCCGTTTGGTTGCCACTCCGGAATGGCAATGACAATCACTATCAAAACGTCTTCAATCGGAATAGGTTTATGCTATTCCTTTTGAGGTGTTTGGTTTAGGAGAAGCAATGGGATGATTATTGATTTTGTTGATTGGTTTATTCACAGTCATCAATGGGAATACAAGCCCAATTCAACAACTATTTTCCTATGAATAAATAAAAAGTTATGGGATAATTTCAGATGCCTCCCCTGACTGGAAGCTTGTTCATTGCATTCAAGTGGAGGAAGAGGTTGATAGTGTTAGTCAAATCTGGATCACGATTAACTCAAATCCTGATCCGGTTATTATGACTTAACTCAATTCCAAACCTGGTTTCTAGCTAATCCGGACTTCTGTGATACAGATTCATGCTTGTGCTAAACAACTACTAAGAATACAAGGCCGGATTGTGGATTCGCTATTCAATCCATGGCCGGATTGAACCTAAGCCAGTTTCCCTATAGTTAGGCAGTTTTATCCAACATAAACAAAATAAAATTTGTACATAAAATTAATACTGCAATCATTAATATAATACATTTTTAACCAGAATCAAGTCTTTTATAATACATAAAGACCATCTACAATAATGCAAAAAAGTCCAGTGATGGTACTAGCCAAGTTAGCAATCTGATCAACATATGCCAAACTAGTATAATAACTTCCAAATCCAAAAAGTTCAAAACTATCACAAAAGACCATTCCATGATGGTAGTAGTTTATAATATACAAAAAAAACTAGATGCAATGGTTGATTTTTAACAATTAGGAGGATAAAGAAGGTTAATTATGTAGGGATACTTTGCATCAACTAGAAGTTGAGAAAATATATTCAGTTTGGCTTCTTCATTAGAAAGGATATCAGTAGCCTTGAAAACATCAGAGAAATTTCCAATTTGATGATGAATTTTAAAAAGTTTCTGCAAAATGAGTGTTTTAAGTGTAGACTTCCGTCAAGGGGTCTTCGCATTTGTAAAATGCGAACTGAATGCTTCGCATTTGACAAATGTGATGTCCCCTTGAATTTTCAATCCAAAAAAGGGGAAAAAAAAGAGAGTTACTTCAGACCTCGCATTTGCCAAATGCGAGGTCAAGTAACCTCGCATTTGTCAGCCGCGAGGTCATGGAACTCGCATTTAACCTATGCCAAATGCGAGGTCAAGTAACCTCGCATTTGTCAGCCGCGAGGTCATGGAACTCGCATTTAACCTATGCGAGGCAGGGAGCCATTTATATTTCAATCCAAGGCTCTTGCGTTTCTTTTCTTTTCTTTTCTTTTTTGCAAAATTAAGCAAGCTATTTTTTTTAGAGTGTGAATTTTGTTTTTTGTTTTGTAAAATTATGGAGGACGAATTTGTAGGTTATTAAGTGATTGCCAAAAAAAAATCCATTAATCTTGAATTTCACGTTAAAACCATACTGAATGATAATTGATATAATCAAGAGTAAATCATTATTTTAGCATTTATGTAATGTTTAAAGAAGATATTAACTAAGCACTAATATTACTTAATTGGACAGATGCTTCCACATACTTCAGTAATTCAACAAAATTGGCACCCCAAATGCCATATCATCCTCAATATCGCATAAAATACGACTAATAATCACTGAAGAAGTCATTGCTTTTCTTATCAATCTTCACTAAATTGTTTTCTTTTTCCACGGTTAAACAGAAAGGGACATTCTCTCTCTCTCTCTCTCTCTGCTTTTTTTTTTTTAATGGCAAACTCCATTCATAGATGAGGGATGCTAACCTTTTATTTTATTAAACCATAAAGTAAATAAACATTACAAGAGTTTGGAATGAGCATACGTGACCTGAATATAATCATGACAACTACTACGAAATGGCTAGCTAAAAAGAATCTATGTAAACACATATGTACCATCTAATAGCACGCTTTCTGAAAGAAGTCATCTATGCTCTATCTAAAGAAAATGATCATCGAGCTAGAGCTAGAAGAGAGTCCACGGAAGTGTGTATCAGCTATGACAAGATTTCTTTTTTACGTAAAAAGGGATTTTATTGAATAGAACATGAATGTACACAAGAGCAGAGGAATCTGCTACACAAAAGTACTTCTACAACCAATTAAGCTATACAATAATACTACTACAATGAACTAGACTCCAATTGAGCAGACTATAGAGCCTCTTGTGCATGAATAGTTTTGGCAGAGATATCCCAGAATTCTTTCTTATTTAACTCTTTTAATGCCTTCTTTACCTCTTTCAGTTTCAAACAGAAAGTCCTCATAGGGTCACCTTGAAATTCAGTACGCCATGCCTTATGAAGTAGCTGAGGGAAATCATTGTGAGACATCCAAAATCCATGAAATTTGAAAGGCTTAGCTATGAGAAGCCCTCTTAGATAAATGATCCGTGACATGATTAGCTCCCGGAAACATTGTGAAATTGATATAAATGCTTGGGAGAGTTGCCGTAGCTCCTCCATCTCCAACAATATGGATATGACAACTTGCTAAGCAGAGTGTTAACCAAAGCGAGTCAAGCTGTATATGGAACCTGTTATAAGTTCTGTTCAAACATTCATGTACACAAAACAACACAGCCTTGATCAATTTCCTGATATATGTACAGGAAGTGATCAGCTCAATTATCTCAAAAACCAACATAAACTTCCACCTACAAGCCTTGTGAAATTTCTGATCAAGTTAATATGTTTCTAGATGCTTATCCAACCATAAATTCCATTATAAGGAAAAGTCAAACACTTTAAGCATACAATTTACAATCACTTGCTTCAAACACCAGAAAATTCATGACAGCTATAAGAAATAAACTCTTCAATTTGGTTCAAGAATTTTGGATTGGATTGGCGTCCATGATGTACCAAGATCATTTTAACCCCTGTTGCTAAGGTAACATAAAGCAAGGCATTCTGCAATAATTTAACTAGGTGGCAGAACTAAAAGGCTAACTACGCAAGTGAGACCGAAAATGAATAGAATGCTAAGAAGTCCAAGAGGTTAAGTTCGTTTCTAGCATATTCTCCATATGGCAAGAAGTCCTAGAGGTTAAGTTGGTTTCTAGAATATTCTCCATATGCCATCATCAAGAACTAGAAATTATGCCATTGTTTCTTTTGCTTTTTAGAAACTAATATGCCATTGTCAAACTCAAACTTCATGGCATTAGAATTTCTTCAAAAAAGTGACCCTTATACAGGTTGTATGCCCCAATCCCCAACTCTTGCTTCTACCAAGCTAGCAATTTTTTCCATGGTTGATTGTATGAACAGATTTAAAAAATAAAAATAAAAACAGAGGAGTTGTACAGTCCGGAATGGGTATATTCATTCTAGCTCCTCAACCAAGAAAAATTCACAGTTGCCCTCACAATTAACTAAGATTGGGATCAAAACTTCCATGCATTCATAAGCCTACATGCAAGTACAAAATATTTAGATTCTTCAAAATCTAATCATATTATGATGGACCCTATGATCAGATTTAGGATGGAAGAAGGTTGATGTTGCAGAAAGAAAGACCACTGTGCCAGCAGTGTGTCTTGAAATAGCAAATGGACTGGGTACCTCAAGGTTTCTATTCAGGCAAAACAGTTATTTAGGTGTATTACCTAAGCGAGCCTCATTATGCAAATGTTGATGATCTAGAATTGTTAACAGTGATAACTCAGAATTGTAAGACTAGATATATGGTGCAAGGACCTACAGGTTGCATCTCAAAACTATACATAGTTTCTCAATAACAAGCAAAACTTCAAAACAAGTAGCTAATACATACCACTACTTAAAAAGGTAAAACAAATTGCATCGTTTAATAGTAAGTAGCTAATAGCAGTTTTTTTTTTTTTTTTTGTTGTGAGGGGGTTACAAAAGCATGAACTAGAACCTGAAAACCTTACTGGTCTGGTAGCATTACAACCCATCAAGGTACTGAAGAAACAGCAATACAACAAAACTAAAAGATGGACAACTTAACTTAGCCACTAGAATGCCACAAACAGACGATTCACTAAGAGAATCCTAATTGATTCAGCATATTTTAAGCATTAACCGTATATTAAGCTGCCAGCTAGTAAACTTTCAAAATTGCCAAGTTATAAATAGCAATGCCAATACCGTGGATGCTAATCACGAAATCCAACATACGGGTATCATGCAAAAATGCCAAATGGCTGGTCACATGAACACTAGAACCAAGTCAAAGTTATCGGTAACTCAAAAGAAAATGATGCAGGACTAGCTGTGAAGTTATATGCAAATACCACTAATTTTATCTACACCTGTCTCTGTGGTTTTCTTTCTGTATTTACGTTTACTCTGGCTCTGGGGTGCAGTGGGTCATTTGACCCAAGGATTTCCCCTCCCAGAAGATATTTCCTCAGACTCGACAGAAAAAAATGGAAAAAGCAGCACAACCCACATGATATTTACATGCAAATTGACATCAAATCTGAACTTTACATCGGATTAAAGTATTAAATAAATATAAAACGCATAAAAATCAGACTTTGCAACAAAAGTTCATACCTTTTATGCTGTTTGTGAGCTACAGAGCACAGCCACGAATTTGAAAGCCATTTGCGAAGGGAAAAGAAAATGTGCAGCGCAAAGGGTCACAAAATTGGTTGGGGATGACTGCTGAGGCAGAAATGGCAGCTGGTTGGCGTGCAAATGGCGTCTGGTGGAAGCTCAACAATGGCGGACAACAACCGACGAGAAAGAAAGAGATTGAGGGATTTTGGGCAATTTCCTCTTGGAAGCTTGGACTGGTGTCTAGCTAAGCAAAAGACGAGAGAGTGAGCTGGATGTGCAAAGTTTCGTTCCAATTTCTGCCCCTCTGCTTATGGATTTGAATGCCGAATGTTTGATGTAAAGAACGGAGCTCTGTTTTTGGGTTTAGGTGAAAGAGACTGAGAAATGCGAGGTACCTTTTTAAAAAAAAAAAATGTATCCTGGCTCGCATTTGCGGAATGCGCAAGCTAAGTAAGTTCGCATTCAACAAATGTTAACAACCTCATTTTAGAAATGCCTTCAACAATAGTCTTGCAAAAACTCTTTTTTTTTCATCATAATTCAAGAATTTACTCAGGAATAAAGATCACCATTTTATTTGCGAGCTGCAATTTTTGTAAGAGTGATGATCGTGTAATCGTCACTAATTGCATCAAACCCAAACCCCAAATCAGCCAGCCGGCGTTGATACCCTTGTGGGCAATGTAAGGGACAATCCGGCCGTGTAAGAAACTCGCGAGTTGTAGGATTACACAAACAAATATCATAAGAATCATAACTTCTAAGACAAATTATGCCATGGCATGTGCTCACCAAATGCATATTGTAGTGCAACGAATCTTCTGTCCCACATCCTGCAGAGATAAAGATTCATCTTTTGAATGGAATGATAACACAGTTTTTCTCTCGTCCTTGATGAAACACTTCACCAAGTTGACATCTTCCTGATTACCGCTTTTGGCTTGGCTGACATGCAAATCAGCGAAATCGAGGCTTTTGATCAAAGAGCACCAAGATTTGCTAACGTATTTGAATCGAAACAAACATTTCACGGGTAATCTTACCAAGATCTGCATCAAGACATCCTCTGGAAGAACATCCATTTGTCTAGTTGTTTGGTCAATAGATTGATAGCAGATGAGCATAAAAATAAAAATAAGGCTGCGAAGATAAGGGTTCATCAAGAGGTCTCCTCATTTGCAGTTTTCATCAAGGCTGTCCTTTCTTTAGTGTGATCGTTTCTCACCAGAAGTAGTGAGAAGATTTATTGACTGGATTGCTAGTTACCCACTTGGGTCAAGGCCTCCCCTTGCAGCTTTCAGGGCTCTCCTTGCCTTAGTGGGATCATTTTCTTGCAACTCGTGAGAAGTAGCGAGAAGATTTATTGAATGGATTGCTACTTGTTCACTCTATGATTAATTGGGAATATGTGCAGTTTGTGAAGTGATCAACTAACCTAACATTCCTATTAATATCTATATGTTCTTGAGTACAAAGGATAGGCAAGCCAAATCAAAGTTTTAGTAAATTGTAATAAAACCAAAAAGAAAAAAAAAAAAAGAGATTTAATAAATCATTAAATGGTACAATGGACACTTTGTCCAAAATCCCATAATCGAATGATGTGTTTAGATACAAAAGTTATCTTAAATATTATTTTATTTGCATTACAAAATACATTTTTCAACCAATTTTTTTATATTTTCAATTTATTTTTATCTCATATGTATCAATCACAAAAAGTGTTGCACTAAAATATGGGTGAACTGGATTTTTATGAAGTATACTTATACAACAAATCTAATTACATAGAAGGATCGGCATGGTCGAGAGTTTCTAATACCCGGAATGTGATAAAGCATGTCAACAATTATGAACCAAATCAAGGATTACTGAAGAAGAACCAACAAGTTGTGATTTGGACAGAGATGATTGAAGATAAACTATTTGATCTTTTGGAAAATAATAATAGTTTTTCCCTACTAGATCATGAAGAAGTTGCTAGATTAATGGAACCAATCAATTTGTATAACTTTCAAAATCGAAATTATTCTATAGACGCTATATTCATGCTTGTTCGAAATGCGAATTATAATATTCATTCTTAAAAGAATGGGAATGAAAAACAAGACGTACTCTTCGTCAAAATATGGACAAATAGAACTTTGCTACGTAGCTTTGCTAAATTTCGTAGCTTTGCTAAATTTCGTAACTTTGCTAAATTTGGTAGGTGAGACAAATTCTACCTTTTCTATAATATAGCACTTTTAAATTTCTATTTGGTGTATTCTTTTGCATGAAATAACCTCTGTTTATTAACTGTCTGTTTTCTATTTGGTTTGTGTCTTGAAATCTTTTACTCCACAATGTAGCTAATTATTATAATCTTTCTCTGTATCACATTTGTAGCTATTGAAGAAGAGATCTGCGGTAAAAATTTCAAAAAATGCATCCTATTCAGAGCAGTTTCGACAATCACTTGTTCAGGTAATTTATTTAATTAAGCAAAGCTAGAATCGAGATACTGCTATTAAGTTTGCCCTTGGTGGAGGGGGATATGGATTTAGTCAGCTCGTTTTTATGTTGCTTGCATTCAAATGATCTCGTTCACTGTATCTCTTGTACTTGAAGCTTGACCCACAATTGTGCAGCATGATATCTATGCACCCTTTGCTTGCTTTAATTTGTGCATCAAATTGATGGTGTTTAGATGTCAAATGTTTTTAGAGATCATTAATTTGTAGGAGTATAATTTAGAAGAAAGAGCATTTTTTGTGCTTGTTTGTTGCCTTGTTTCTGATTTGATGCCTCTAGGGAAATTCTATTCACGAAAATCTCAATTCACAATTCGATGACATGCTGTGCTTTGCTTTAGTGCGAAACTATGCCATGTAATTTGCCTCATCAGTTCTAATAGGAAATGCTGGTGAATTGCAATTGAGACTCATAAAGGGATGATTTCAGAAACCTCCTCTCAAGTATTGGACGGTTTTACTTAGCAACCTTGTAATATCAAATATTACACTGACCTATCTTCATAGTGTTATAATTGAAGGGAAATTTAAAACCACATAGATAATTACTATATAACCTTCTAACAATTTCTATTAACTTTCAACCCCACCAAAATAGAGAGAGAGAGAGAGAGGAATAACACCTCAACCGAACTACAACTACTCCCAAACCACTGCTTTCTAACTTTCTAATAACAAATAGGGGTGCAAAAGAATCGAAATTAATCGAGTAGCTCGCGAGTTTGCTCAGTCAAAACTCGAGCTCGAACTCACATTGATCGAGTTTGAACAGATCGAGTTACTTGATGAGTCGAGCTTGAGGTTAATATATGAAGCTTGAAACCTTGTCGAGCTTAACCGAGCTTAATCGAGTTACACATATATATGTTTTTTCTATTTTTTTTATTTATTACTATGAAATGTCTATTTTATCCCTTGGTTAAAATTTCTAAAATATAAATTTATATTTCTTAAACTCAATTAGATTCGATTGGGCTCGATAAGCATGAGCTCGAGTTCGAGTTCGAGTATTGCAAAATAAAATTGATTTTGAGTTAGAGCTTAACTTTCAAGATTTCAACCTCTGAGTTCGAGTCCAAATATTTTAACTTGAGTCGAGCTCGAGTACTCAACTCGACTCGACTCGTTGCAGCCGTAATTACAAAGCCTCTGGAAAAAGTTCAATCTCACCAATTCAATTGCACTGTCGTCTCATCTGAAGCCAACTTTCCCAGCCCCTTAAATCCGGACCACTGACGTCACTGCACTTCCAATTTTCCTCCTCCTTGTGAACTGCAGGCTCTTTACCTCTATTGACTATTTTCTTAAGATAATTTGCAAAACGATGTGAATTGAATAATTCTGTGCTTTTAGAGCCTGACAGATTGTTTGTTTGGTTGACGAACAGGTCAAATCAATTTTGTGGGAAGCAACTGACTTGGCTTTTAGAGCCTGACTATTTTCTTTATGTTTGGCATTTAGGGAGGAGTGTTACAGTGCAACAGAAGGCCAATAGTTGAGGATGGGTAATGGCTAGGCACAGTTTGTGGCCAATGAAGAGTTGGATCTTGGGATTTGGATGGTTAGGAGAGGAAGACTGGTGAAGATTGAATGTGGAACATTGGTGGGAAGGGGTGGTGATTAGCTGGAGGTAGGGGGAGAGATATAGGTCAGGGAGTTTTTTTTTCCTTTACTTTTTTTGTTTCTGATTTTGATAGAGATGAGGAAAGGGTGTTTTAGGATCTTCAGTGGGAATTTTGTGCTTTCGTCCTATTTTGATCAGCAGATTTTAGGTTCTGTCACGTTAACAGTGAAAATAAGGAGGTCAGTGTGATATTTGAACCCACAGTGGTGCTAAGGAAAGTTGTCTGAAACCTCTGGATAGGTTTCTGAATTATCCTAACCAAAATTGGGTTTTGAACAATAAGAAAGACTCCTGAATTTTTGGTCTATCATAAGAGGCTAGAACTTTGGGAACAGGGTGTAACCTAATCTTGAATGTTCTTTGTGATCTTAGAGAGAAAGAATAACTGAATGTACTCAGCCTGTATTTGCTGTAAACCTTGATTACTTGTTCCTCTACCATTGTCCATTTCTCTACTTAGCACAGGAAAAATTCCCATTTGAGATCTTTAATTTTCAAATGATCTGTTTGGCTTTAAATATCGTATCTGCACATAATGTCGACAGGTAGATGTGTGCTTATTTCTTTTGATACTTGTAGGTGCTTTTTGGTTTTTTTTTTTTTGGTTCGAGGTTGAGAACACATTAGTTTAGAACTTTTGTCGAGTAAAAACTGTAAAGCGTCATGCTGAAAAAGCATTACATGGAAAATCCTTGGCATAGTGGGTGATGTATATTAAAGCCTCACTAGAATGTCCATTTGGTCTCAATTGATTTAACTATAATACCAAAGTCTACTATCAAGATCGACACAGGCCCATTAGTTACTTTTCCATTTGCCTAAGTACACTTTGGATTCCGGTGGTTTATACCAGTGCCATTGATCAAGCCAAATACTTGATACTTACTGTTATGACTAGTGTTGTATATGATGTAACCTATGGAAATGCTTCATAGTAATGTATATTCAACTGGTGGTGAGGATGATGTAAACCTCATGCAGGAGTATTAGTTTTCACTATGATTTAGGCTCAAGCAATAGTTGTCTACGAATTGTTCTAAAAGCTGTTGCATGTGTGCTATGCATGTGCTTGATGAACGTTCTCTTGTCTTTTGGCAATAAGCGGAATCATAGTGTTTTGCAGCTCTATAAACAGTCTTTTAGTGTACTCTAGCAGGAGTTTTCCTCGTTTTCATGACTTAGATCATTATCAAACTTCAGAGCTCTTGCGTAGTGTTCTATTGTTGCGAAATGTGTGGGAAAGTGAGTTAAAGTTGGTTACTTTTCCTTTGTGCATTCATTTGCAAGA